ATGGTATTCACTGTGTAAACTCAGAAAATACTTCTCCTGAGGTTCAAGGTTGGGGTTACGCCATATTGTTGCAATGGTTACACATTTTTGCAAGATATATTCTTGGACTCGTCATGAAAGCAACTTAGCATCAGCAGACAATTCAATCCAGTGATTTAATGTAACAAAGCTGCTCAGGCTTATTAACCCAAATCATACACTCATGTGGTTTTTCAAAAAAACAATATGCTAAAACCAGACACCTGAGTTGACCGCCAGCAACACCATCAGTAGTTACGCAACTGTAACTTTTCTTTGCAGTGTTATAAAACAGTTTTGTCTCATTGTGAACTTTAAAGACTCTTTAAAGATCTTTAATTAGTCTATTAATTACATTTACAAGATTTAATTTTCCAGAGATAGAAAAATCAATGTCAGACCAAACTCCTGTCAAAACTCCTACAAATAAGTAAATGCTACAGAAAATGTAATTTATGGCACTCATGGAGAAGCATCATTTATTAGTCAATTAATTAGCAATTTTGAAAAAAACCCAGTTTCGACCCGTGCTAAACCTCAAGCAGCACGTGGGTCATATAGGCTTCCTAAAGCTGTATCTTCATGCTTTCCCAGCAAAAGAGCTGAGCAGGGACTCAACCAGGTCATCCATATTCAGTAACCACTTGGACTTGGCGGCCTCAGGTGCACTACAACTGAAACTAACTTCACTGCATCCAGCTGTGCAGAAGCTGTAAGAGAATCTAAGCACAGTGCTCACACTTTTAAAGTTGCTTCATTTTATTGTTTTCTTTTCCTGTAGCCTTAGACTTTAGGCTGCACTTTTTTTTTGGAGCAATTAACAAGATTGCTTCTTGTTCAACATTCATGATCAATAATGAAAAATATTAAATTCATAACAGTGGCAGTTATTTTGCACACGTTCTATTCATATGGTTTTTTTGTTCCCTGGGAAACTAATGATAATGACATTCCAACAGTAAGGGAAATCAAATCTATTATTTGAAAGTCATTGTTTGTTTAAAATGATTTAACACAGAATGTAATTGTATTATGATAGAAATGATAGAAATAATGAATATAAATGAATACAAAATATTTAATAATTCTAAGAATAATTAAGAAGCCAATATTAATGTTCATCAGCCTATATTTTATTTGACAGGGGGGTAAAGTGACCTGGATATCTAATCTAAAAATGAGTAAGTGAGGACATTGAGCAAAGATCTGAAGTTGGTTACGTCGGTTTACATGGGGACATCGTGTAAATGCATTAAAAAGGGCAGAACAATGTTATTATACTGATAAATGCAGTTTTCAAATAAAGCCTGATAGACCTGTTACTTTTGAGGGTAATTGTTTCACCGACTGCTGAGATGACTTCAGATAAAAGAACAAGAAGATTGTCAGAACTCTTCTGCTCCAACTCGTGAAGGCTTAAGTGCTGATGACACTCTGAAGGCTACAATCAAAATGCACCTGTATTACAGGTGAGGAGCACTTCCCAAGGATTTCTATGGCGGTCAGCAACGGCCGCAACACAGCTTGTTGTGGGCCAAGCGGTGACTATCACTCTGACCTTCTCTTTACTTCCAGAAAATGACTTAGTGGAATGTAACAACTTCGTTATCTCTTCAGCTCCTTCTAAAGATGTTATTCATTGTGTCCCCCATGTCAAGGTAAAAGTTAAATTGACTGGCCTCAAGGTTAATATTGACTAGTCCATCAGTAAAGTCCAGTCATCCTGTGATTCACCACTTCACAGGTGATACTTTGACCCCAGCAAGGTCTTCTTCTTTCTGTCTCCATGTTTGTCTTGACATGCCATTTACCTAGAAGAAAATTGAGGTTTTATTCCTCCTTTGCCACTTCTGTGCTTCTACAGTGCCGGCAATCATGCTATGCCTCTTAACTTTGTAGTCATGGTGGAGAGTGCTAGAGCTGAAAGACTTTTCTTTGCACCATCATACCCTAAAACACACCGTCATGCCTCATACTGCATACATGGAAGATTTCTTTCTCCTGCCCTTAAGCCCAGCGTTAGATGAACAGAACCTTCTCTCCATAATTCATTGTATGGATGCGTTCATTTCTTACATATATCTTCTGAAAGATATATTTTCTGAAAGCTCATAGGGATACGGATAACCCAGAAAAAAATTGAACAGTACCACAGGGAATCAAGGGGGGCAGTGTGGCGGAAAGTTGGAAAGTTGGAACAACGCCATTTACGAAGCGGCTGCTTTTGCATATTTCTTGTGAGGTACATTTTCACAATCCCGTCCACTGTCGCCATTTTTGTTGTCATCAGAAACTCAACACTGCACTGCCATCTGGATGTATTGCTTTACCATGTCAAGTGGTTACATCGTTTGAAACAGACGCATCTATTTTCATACGTAAATTTGCCTTTGGCTGATATTTTGTTTGAAAAATATTTCTTGTCTTGTCCCAGGCTCCCTTGTTATTATATATCGTATTTTGTTTTGCATATATTTTGCTGGCAAAAATATAATACTTCGCCAAGGTGAAAAAAAATCAAAAGCTGAAAAGTATCGGGAAACTCACAACAACTGTTATATTGAAACGAAATGCATTTTTGCTGAAATTACAAAAGAAAAAAATATATCTTTGGATATTCAGAGGCAAAACACACAATTCAAAGACCTCGAGCTTTCAAAAATGTTCATGGGTGTTTTTCACTATTTGGTTTTTTACAATTTATAAACAAAATGTTATAAAGGTATGAATGCAAACTAAACCATAACCACATCTTGTTTGAATCCAACAAAATGTGGAAATAATTAGAAAAATAATATTTCCCCATTTATTTTTACAATAAGCCATGTATTGCATTTACATTACAATTTTAATCTTTAATATTCCATGACTACTGTCCTTTGTGCCGAGGACCTAATTTCAGTTTATCACAATGTTACAATACAGTATCTAATTAAATACGTGACTTCACCTACTTTTGATCTCAAATGAGATTTAAAGGGCGGCAGAGCGACTGGTCTGTGTGTCCTCACATGGCACTATCCTAACTTGCTGAGTCAACAGAAAGGTTATCCACAGATACAACAAAGGACACACATCCAGGATATAAGCAGCAGTGAGGGCAGTGCAGCAGCAGCTCTTCAGCCCTCTGCTATTATTTTATTAGTCCCCTGTGGGCCCGGAGGTTGCAGGAGTGGCGACACATTCTGAAAGATCTAATTAAGTGAAGCAAAATGAGAGTGCTGAGATCCACAGCCCACGACAGGACACAAATCTGGGTCTTTTGACAGTGGACTCCAGGGCTATTGGGCTTTGCAACAGAGGCCGCTCTCTCTTAACCTCCGGGTAATGATCCTCCCCACTTCTCCGTGGTCCTCACTTTAACTTTATTTATAGCTCAGGGTGGAGGGTTGGGAATCATAGTCTCATTATGCAAAAGCATGTGAATTTTACTGTTTTGTCTGAGTTGGAGGCAATTAGTGTTTTCTCAGTAAATTAAAGTGTTTGTGCTATAGAACCAGACGACTGCATCAGGTGTGTGGTTTTGAGCTTTGCCTGTTAAAAGCAGTCCTGAAGAGTTCAGTATTTATAACTCATACAGCATGTTAGAATGATGAGTTATTCAGAAGGTGGGAAGAATTTGTAGGGGATGTTTCCCAATTTAGAGGCGCAGGCTGTGTGGGGATGTAAAGACTTCCTTCTCCGTCTGGTAATTCAGTGTTCACATGCCATTTCATCTCAGTGGAGAAAAAAATGTCTTCAGGACACCTGTCGCAGAGGCTGTGACTGTCTGGTCTCCCAGGTTCTTTTCTGACTGAGACCAGAAAGACCTTGGAGTACAAAGACAACAGTCTTGATTGTGTGAGTACACAGGAAGGTCTCCCAACATTGTTGTGCTCATCATGTTAGCGGGCACAGACACAAAGCAGGACAGATGCTAGGCAGAGGGCAAAGGGGTTATGTTATCCTGATTAGTTTTTTCTCATGTCCTACCAAGGCATCAACTTGCAGAACGAAAAGTGGCATTGGTTTCTTTCTCGCTCCAGTATTTACAAAGACTACTGCCTTTGCCAGCGCCAACTGTGCCTTTTATTCAACAATGCACATTTCTTCTCCTGTTATCAACCACCTACACACAAAGCAGTGAGTTGCGGAAGAAAACTTACCTTTTTCTTCTTGTGGATTCACCTCGCTGAAAGCGGTTAAAAGTGGATTTGTTCCTTTTGACACATGTGCCTTAGTTGAGTCTGGTTAACACAAATCCCTCAGTGGTTCATAAACAAAAAAATGCAGTTGCCTGTATATCTCCTGAAATCGTGGCATAAATATAGTCTAGTTCTAATCATTAGTGAAGTATATACCTGCAATGTATGTTGCTCTTTTTTTCACTGCATTAATCGTAATCTATTTCATCCCAAAGCAATTCATTTACATTTTCTGTCTTTCAAGTAAAACTTAAGCACAACCTTTGGAATTTCTCTAACTCAATAATCAGGTTTTATTATGATGTTCTTCTTCCATCTGTAAATATAATGCATACCACAAAGTACACATCTGCATTATGTTATGTCCCAGTTTTACTTTAGTGGGTCACACAGTGTAAAGTACAATAAAACTGTATAATGCATTCATTTGAAAAAAAGAAGAAAAGAAAAATACTGACCACAAGTTAGTTGTTACCCAAGAAAAACTTTCCCTGCTTTAGACTTCCAATTGAAAATGATTCAACACTGCAGGCACTTTAGCCTTCTGTTAACTTTTTAAAATGCTTGCCTCACTACCACAACTGGTCGCTGATGTCTTACTCTGACTCACAGTGTACATGACAGCTCGTCTGAAGGATAATAATTTTAATGATTTAAAATTATTAAAAGAAATCACAGTGTTCTTAGGCTCTTAGCACCAGATACCAGTTAAAATATGCAACCAAGCCTCCGACACTTTAAAATACATGGAATACAATGAATAACTGATGCATTTCTTCCTTACTTTCTTCCTTTCAGGATCTTACATGTTGGTGAACTCCTCCCAGCATGCCGTGGGTCATCGTGCTCAGCTGCTGCTGCAGTCGCTGAGTGAAAATGACACGCACTGCGTCCAATTCAGCTACTTCCTGTACAGTCGCGATGGCCACAGTCCCGGGGGCCTCAGGGCGTACGTGCGAGTCAACGGCGGTCCACTCGGAAGTTCAGTGTGGAACACGTCGGGGTCTCATGGAAAGCAGTGGCATCAGGTTGAGCTGGCCGTCAGCACCTTCTGGCCTAATGAATACCAGGTATGAGCTTTGTCATTCTCACTCTCACTCTTACACGACAGTGTTTCTGATGGCTTGGAACAGTAAAATAATTGTTCATGTTTGTGATGAAGATCTGCACACCACATCGACTGGCGCCTTGTACAGCTGAGAAATGTTACACAGGGAGGCTGTGTTGATCACTACTCATTTTAGCCTGGAGGTGAATCCAGTGTTAATTACTTGCATTTGCAATGTAATTAGCATCAATCCCCTTGTGAATGTAGCCAGCGTTAGCGCTCGAGGGCCTAAACCCGGTCTCACATGGTCATGCCTGGTAGAGATTTCACCTACTGAGGACTGTGCACAGCATGTTCAGCCAATTCAAACTATCTGCATGACATATCATTGTGCACTAACAAAAGAAAGACATTGACAGGCATCTTACTGGGGTGTAGATGTAGTTGTGAGAGCCTCCTGTGGTGTGGTCTGTGGAGCAGTCAGGTGAGCACTGCATCTATTAATGCAGTTTCTTTTTTCTGCATACTCTGCAGAGCTGTCAAGAAGCAATTAAGTTGAGTAGTGTACATTTTACCAAGAATTGTCAAATGTATTCAAGGCTTTATACTATTTTACGCTGAATAGGTTTCTACTACTCTTCTGGATTATATTAGAGATAGCGATGAGTTTGTCTCACTAAAGATACAGCAGCCCGTCAAAGCCTCATGGGAAAAGCGAAATGTTTCTGAAATTATGCATTTTCTCTTTCTCTGTTGAGAGGAAAAATAAAAAAATATAATGCCAGCACGTGGATAACTGCACACTAAATATAAAACTAACACCAATTGTTAGCTAAGGTTTGCATGAACACTGCAAACAGTTAACCTGAGGTAGCCTGAGATAATCTTTGGCAACTAAAAAGACAACATACGCATCATGAACAGGGTTTCTGTCATTTACTGTAGTTCTTATCACCCTCATAGCATTGTCATTTTTCAGGTAGGTCTGGTTTTAATTAGTTAATGAAAAAGATTGACAGCTGAGACTGTCTCAGGATTGGTCGAGCACGTGGCTCCTCCCTCTGATTACTACCGTGCAGAAATTGGAGATGAATCATCCATCTTTATTTACAGTCTATGGCAAGAAACTGAATAGATCTATTGATAATCTTAAAATGGCTGTGTCTCAATTCAGCGGCTGAATCCTGCGGAGTACCCGGTCTATGCAGCCGACATTAGCTGCATCCTCCAACAGCCTCGTACTGTCTGTAGAACCCATGATCCGGTCTTCCTATTCCGTCACCAGCTTGTCCCGCCCTTACAGCTGTCGCCTAGCAACAAAGCAACAGGCGAAACCGGTCTTTGGTGATTAGAAATTATTGTTGAAAAGATGTTTTTCTTTAAACATGGGTACTGTTAGGTGTTCACTTGAGTACTTACATTTACAAATAAATTCTCCTTACATTTTTGCTTCACTTTTTGCTGCCAATTCCTTTTTTGAAAAACAGTTGGTCGCTAAAGCGCACTGAATCATGGGATATGTTGGGCCAGGAAGCATCCACCCGGTGGAGCCTTTGTTGCTCTGTGTTGGAAGGACACATTTGCCCGCTGCGTTTGGAGGAGCTTTCGAATTGGGACAACCTAGTCGTGCCACTGTGATGTAATTGGTTTACAAATGCCCCCACTCGAATTCAGACACTGCTTTTTTCTTGTTAGAATTTTATGTTTTTTATAGTCAGCAGTGAACATAAAATTACATCACATACGTTAGGAGATATCATTCAAAGAAACCATTTATGGGTAAAACCGGTTAAGATTGAATACTATCAATGTCCTGCTTACTGTCAGTCACATCTCTTGAGCTTTGCTCTTTATAAAAAGGCTTGCAATGTCCATCAGTTCAATTTCACCGCAAAAGGGGGTCCGCAATGATTCCTTTATCTCCATGGCATTTTCAGTGGGAATGATTACATTAACAACACCCTTATTAAATGTATTAAATAGCTTTTGCTCTTAAGGTGAAAATGATTGAGTGTCGTGGTAGAGAGCGCTTCACCACTGATGGATGCAGTGAGAGCCGAGCTGTTATAAAACAGACTCTTGACCACCGCTCTGTCCTATATCCCCACATGATGACAGATAAGTCATGAATACAATTATAACATGGTTCATCCTGCTTTATCTTTTTTTCTCTCTTTACTCGAGTGGTGTGTACTCAAGCAAAGACATTTTCTGTGTACTTAGTTGCACTGTATTCCACATCCTCCCTTCCGCTTCCCCTCTGGAGATGTGTGCTTTCTTCTCACAGTCCTCTAAGTATCCCAGTAAACAGTGATGGCTCACAGGTGAGTCAGAAATGTGCTGTGGCTGCAAATTAGCATCTCTGGTTTGGAGAAGGAGATTTATAATGGGCTTATGAAGAGGAGTATACGACTCCTAGACAAGACACACAGCACAGGAGAAGGGCCTGAAAGTTGAATTAGTATTGACTGTACAGCATTTTAATAGGATAGCTTCAACTCCTAATGGCCTCGCTTTTATCTCATGTTCAAAAGTGCTCAAAACCAATGGATTAAATATGTTCATCGTGGGGATTTGATCAAAAGGTATCTGCACTAATAAACAAACTACTTATAGCATACAAGGACACTTCTTCTTTAATGCCACATGTCGCTTTAACTCTGACCTTGTGCTGCTTCTCAGCTCAAAGGAAGCTGAACAAACTGCCCCCACACAAAGTCACCTAAACCACAGTTTACATTGCTAATCCCTCTGCAGTCAAAAGCTCCTCATCAGTTCTTATTGATTGAGGGTCTTGTCTTGCAACACGTCATTGCTCTTCGTTGCAGAGACGTTTAAAGGTGTGACTGTTTTTTATTTTTTGCCTTTTTCCATTACATTACTTGCTATTCTCTATCATTTACCCGCAACAGTGCGGTGGAAACAGATAGGAAAACACCAAAAAGCAGAACAATGAGAATCTGATATAGTCTGGTTTGGTTCAGCAGTTCTCTTTAGTATTCACCCGAGACTTTATAAGCTCCAGGGCACATCAGCTGCAGCTTGTGGGACTTTAAATCCTAAAGGATTTTGGTTGTATCAGTTTAATATAACTATTTTGGATTATAAGTTAAATGGAGACAGATTTACTTTGCCATTAAACTAGGTAAAGACTCTTTTTAAGCAGAGACGGAGAGTAAGCACTTCTTATCATTGTCTCTGAATAAAATAAATCCCAAGAGAATGCACACAATTTTTCAAAATCTACAGGTTTCCCCTCCCTTCCCATATTAGATATTAGGTCATATTATAGCTCCGAGTTCTCTGCCAACAGCGCAAGGATGCAAAATGTCAGTGTAGCCTTACACCCGGGTTTTCACGATTTTGGGGCGTAATGAAATACCTTGTTTACAGCACTGTTTGTGTCTAGAAAATGTCACTGGAATGTAATTAAAAAAAGCAATTCTCTGATAATCACCAAAACTAAGAGGATTAATGTGAGGAAACCAAACCCCTCCCCCCGCTTCACCTGCCCGGTGATTTGAAAAATTATTTCCCTGCTTGCTCCCAGTACTTCTTTAATATTTTATTATTCATGCAGGACTCAACGTGTGCATGTGAAATGTTTGCTCACCAGGTTTCCCTTTATATTAATGTCAGGGGGTGACAAGCATTACAGAAACATCACTCCGTCTATCACAGTTGTGGAATTGGGATTTGGAGTTCAATAGATTTTGAGGTGAAAATCTTCAGAGAGCGAGATCACCTTGAGATGTTTCGATTGAAGTTGTCGTCTGTGTCTGGTGTACATTGCCACATTTCTCGCTCCCTCTTATTGGTAGAAGTGTTTGCAATACCTGGAGAACCTTGTTATCAAATATTAAAGATGTTATCCAACCCTCCAAGACTGCCAACTAGAGCCGCATACATGTCCCCCTCCCCTCTTTAGCATCTCTCACTCACTTCTTGCTTCTCTCTTTTTCCTGCCTCCTTCCAAATGTCAGAATCGTCTTCAAACTTGTTTTTCTTCTGCCTTTCATGACTTTTTTCTTCTCACACATGTTGATATTATATATTTTATTTATCTCCTTTCTCACTACTTTCTACCTGTTGCAGCTGTTGCTGCTCTAATGATCGGTTGGGATCAGCTTGTTTTCAAGCCTTGTGTAATCATTGCTCCTGTCCATTCTGTTAATGGAATGGTTCTGCCCCAGTAAAACTTATCTATTTAAAGATGCACAGTTGTTATCCAGTGTGAACATTTGTTAGTGAATATTGAATAATGGGGGGTTCTAGTAGTCTAAGTCAGTTCTTATCTTTGGCCACATAATTATGTGTATGTTTCAAACTGCATGCAGCCACACACCTATAGGCTGTATAGTGTCTCTCTGCCAGAGCTCAGATAGATCACACTGTTGATAAGAAATAAGAAAAAGCGGGAATCTCTCCTGTCCCTGTAACCGCCCGTAAAAACCATAAAGAGCCATTCTCCATGCTAAAGTTGTAGCTAGTTTGAAGCCAGTTAGCTTACGTAGTATAAAGACTGGAAATCACCTTTAAAGGGCATAGGTCACAATTTTCTTTTTAAATACCTAAAAAAAACACGTTATCCCACTATCCAGAAATGAGGCTGAAATATATCCCAGAATGGAAACACACATTTTGTGCAGTAGCAATCTGGGAATGAATTATCCTTATATGGAAGTTTCGCCGATACACGCACCCAACCAATCGTGAGTCAGTCTCAGCCCTCAATCATAATGTTTTCCCCATTTTTGTTGCACCAAATAAGTAATCAAAACCAAACTTCTCAGAAATGTGAGCAGTGTAAGATGAATCATTGTAATAAGAACAACCTAAAGTGACAGAAGCAATCTTTGAGAACAATTTATTTGACCTGTACTTGGGCATTTTTTGGCTCATGTTCCATCCACCAACATGGAGAAGGTGGGGTTTGTGACCTATACTGCAGCTAGCCACCAGGGGGCAATACAGAGACTTTATGGGAGCTGTCATGTCGTCCATCATTATATACAGTCTATGGTACCGGGTGGAGGAAGTGCCCCTCTGAATTCTTGCTGTCATCATATGGTTGTTGGACAACATCTAATATGGTAATTATTTATTTTATTCTATATATTATTTTAAGTTAAGCTACGCTAACCAGCTCTGAAGTTAAAATGCACAACATAAGATTGGTATCGATCTTCTCATCTCAGTCTTGGACAGAATACAAAGAAGCATATTTCCCCAAAGAATGAATTAAAGACAAAGAGTACGATTGAATTGGCCCCTTTTGGAAACATGAATTCATCTTATTTAATTATTACGCTAATTTGTTTAAAAGAAAGAGGAACACATCGGCAGCAGGAGACACATCAAAGACTTGTAAATAAGAATGTTCTTGTCTCAGCTTTGTCTGATAGTATCTGCTCTTTTCCTGCTCTGCAGCCTGCTGAGAGACCTCCAAGCGGAGCCCATGGCTATATAGGAAAGGGTTTTGTGAAATACTTTAGTGAGCGAATTGAGATTCCTGACACTGGCACATATTCTCATACACAGACTGTTATCCTTTGGCATTTTCCACCTGAAAAGATATACTTCAGCGTCTGACCTTTTGTCTGTGAATATTAAGAGGGGTTATTTATCTATGACTGCATAATGGTGAGTGAAAGCCCTCTGTGTCTAATGGTGTCTCCTGACTCGAGTGTAAAAAGAGAAAGCTGGTTTATAGGTCCGGATAAATCGTCTCCTGATTTGTATACATTACAACTGCCTCTAAAAGCCAATATCACAGGCAAATGTAATATTTTCTCCCTAAAATGCTTTTTATATCAGTCGTAAATCATTGTGTGTCACACTATTGTTTTTTCCCCCCGCAAAATGACTCCAGGGTTCTTATCTTCTCAAAGTAAAATAACCCCTCATTAGGATAAAGTACAGACACACTGAAAGTTTCATTGGGAAAGTGGCTTTCAATAAAAATCTGGGAAGGTTGTTTATTGAAACAAATGCTCAGAACGTCTCCCTCTTAATAATTTCCTTCCTAATGGCCAAGAAGACTGAGGATTAACCGGCAATCAATCTCTTACAGAGTGCTTTAGTTCAGCAGATAGTAATAACACCTTCAATTAGACTTCCAGGGCATATTTCTCTCTTCCTTGTGTACCATTAAGCCTAATCAGTGTTTTCCGCCTAATTTTATGTTAGTCTAATGGCATGGCAGTGTGTGCTTACACTAATAATTCAGGTCAGCATACTGAAGCATATTGTGCTTTAACCAGTGCTATAAATATTGTATGATTAGTGTAGTTGCACAAACTGAGGGGAAAACAAATAGGGAACAATAAAAAATGAAGACAAAGGAAATGAAATAAGAAAAGATTAGACTGCACAGGCTTTTAAGAAAATAGGCCAGCTGAAAGAAATATAACAGGTAATGTCAATGTTCTTCTTTCTAAGCAGCTCAGGTTCCAGCACAGTCTGGGACCAAACAGGAAAATTGACTCTGGCAGAAGATTAGCTTCAGTGTTCCTCCCCGAGCCGGAGGAGAGCAGCCAGCTATAGACAGACGAGGGTAACTCTCCAACTCCGAGACCCAGCAGCCACAACCTTTTCACCTCTTCTCTACAGCCTGCATGCCTGGCTCCCTGCAACTCCTTCTGTTTGACTTCCCTCCGTGTTTTTTCAGATGACCCCAATCTCCTCACATCCCATCAAAATGCTGTCTGTGGAGGTGCCTTTAGGGGTCGTGCATGGCCAGGGATGTTGTCACACCAATTGTTGGTGTAATCACACGTGTTCCTTCCCCGAAGTCCAGGGAGGTGGACTTTCTCTGCCCTGCTGAGTGTGTGAGGCTACAATCTTTGCCAGACACCGTGCAGATGTTGCTGTGACTATAGATCTAAAAGTGCAAACATAAGTGCACTGTTTTGGTGAGATTAGTCTAATTTATATTTTGATAGGATAAAATAATTATGTTGCAATACAACTAGCAACATTATTATTTAAGTCTATTTCTTCTATTCTTCTATTTAAGTCATTATTAAAAAAAAAATCATAACATTAGATATTTCATGTTGACAAAGTTCTTGTATTAGTGCTTTATGTTGAGACAGAAGTTAATGCTGATGCATTTGAGAAATTTTGTTAAAAAGAGAAACCAAGTCAAGTTATCCCTAGCCCTAACTTAGATTGCTATAATAAGTGTGAGCACTTCCACCATGTGAAATTTTCACTGGGGTGGAAAGCCATGGCCCCTGACCCCTGTCATGTAATCCTCTCTCATCTCCATCACCTTTCTTTTTCTCAGTCTCCTCATCTTGTCCCATATCTCGTCCCTACCCAAAGATGAACTTTTATTATTGCAATCTCATTTTCATCTGTTCATTTTCATTTTACTAATAAGTGCGGTTGTTTCTCCCGTCGCCCCCCTTTAATCACTGGTCATATTGTAGCCACAGAAAGTGCTTTATCATATGATTTACCTGCATTGGAGAACTCTTTCAATTTAAGATTGTCTGAGTAACAACAGTTCAGTAGGAAAGTATTCCGATGTTCCCCAAATCAAAAAAGTGAAAATCAAGCAAGCAAAATACAATAACAAAGATTCACTCACTGTTTCCAAAGGTAAGAATGCATGATAACTTATAACTTATATAGCACTTATCTAAACGGTTAAAAAGTGCTTCACAAAACACATGGTAAAAAATGTATAAAATAGCAATAAATCTGACTGGCTACTGGCTTGCATGGCAGTACTAAAGCCATGTGGCCCACTCAGAAGATCAGACCTATATCATTACCTCTGTGCCTTCTTAAACTAAACCTTATAGAAAACCTAAAATACCCAGTCCTAGTGTAAGAGATATACAACCCATAAAAAACAGTGAATACAGTATAACCTCTCAGTCCAGTTATTTGACATTGAGAAGAACAAGCTCCAATCCCCTGTAACATATTAAAACGTGTAAACACATGTGCGTGTCAGTGGGGACGTGTGAGTGGGGCTTCAGCTGAAATCACAACTTGGTGGTAGAAGCCATATTGTGATTTGGTCAGAGGATTATGAGAAACAATAACTCAAAGCAGGCCTTGGATCAAATTGTGTGGATGGAGGACTGTCCTTGGAAGCGGCGAAAACAAACATCCCCCCCATGTCTCATAACTCTCTCACTATTACTGAGGATGGTGATTTGATATTGATTAGGTTTCATAGGATCCCACCGCTCACCAGGCTTATTGTTCCACAGGGTGGTGTAGAGGTCTGTCCTCCCTTGAGCCTCGTGGCCCTGTACAAGTTGTATGAGCTGACGTTATGGCTCCACCGCAGCCTGAATGTAGAATGTTTCTCATGACTCAGGCGCCACATCATATGCTTCCCCGGTGAAGCCATTATTTCTGTCTGCCCTGCGGATGAAGACAAAACGTATCCATCTATCTTAAAATATCCAATTTCTTTCATTGTCTGCCTTCCTGTTTTTTGGGTCAGTAGTTGTGCAACGACGTGGCGATGGGCACGTTTGTAATTAATGCATCTGTCAACAAAAAGGGAACGACAGCGAGAGGATCCATGCAGCCCTCAGTGGTCTTTGGGAAAATTGCTCTACACTTCAGCTCTGAGCGTTTGAGCATGAGGTTAAGTCACAAGTGTTTGCTTCCGCTGCTGTGGTTATGAATTTAATTCTGTTCATCATGTATTCGCATCTACTCCACTTCTGCAGGTTCTGATTGAGGCAACGGTTTCCAGGGAGCGGCGAGGCTACATTGCCATCGATGACATCATGGTGCTCAACTATCCCTGCTGTAAGTGCCACTTCTGACAATGGATTACAATTACGGAAGGTGCTGGAGGCAATATAAAAAAGGTGTAGTGGCTTTGGGGGGGTGGAAAATGTATTTCAGAGCAGCATGAAACAGTTATAGGTTGAGGAAAAGAGTAATGGCTGATTGACCTTTTTGTATTGGTACTGTGGGCTGTCCTGAGGCATCCTGCGATGACAGTAGTGCTATTAAAACACTCTGGCACCCAAATGCCAACACTGGCTTCATCCCCCACTGAAAACACACCTGCTGTTCCGCCTCCGGCCTGGTTTGACTGACAAATTGATTTGTTAATCAGTGAAATCTTGAATTTTCTCTCTCAGGATATCTACAATGCCATGTTCTCTGGCCTGCCTGGAAGTGTGCTGTAGCTTTTTGTCACAGCTCACTTTGTACAGGTCTTTTTTCCTCCATCAAGCACTACATTTCAAAGCCATATGAAAGAAAATGCCTTCTATTCAGGGTGGGTTTTTTTTTCTTCTTCTTGCGAACCAATAGCCGCCTGCAGCAGAGTGCCTTTTGTGTCAGTGGTGGAAATGTGAGGGTGTGCTGTCAGCCCCCCTGAGGATGTTGTGTAAAACATATTCACTCAGACACCTGAGCTTAATACCTGGACAAAGTGCAGCAGTGTCTCTTACATAGTCCGTGCATAGCCCAGTGCTGAGCACAAGGGCTCTTGTCGGCTCATAGGACATGTAACACTCACGTCCACACCGATTCCAAGTGACTCGTGTAACTGACACAAGCTTGAAGGATGTTTCACCCTCACGGGATCCTCCTTGTTAATATTTATATATTCCCTATTGTTTGCACTGGAGTGATTGGAGATGGACTTTTCAAGGATGTCATGTTGGAGAGGAGTGATTTTTTTATTAAATGCACACTGCCTGTGACATTGCTTCGTACCCCTACTGTACGCATACCGCCCAGTCAGCCGCCCAGTTTCACCCGGAGATGACAGATGGCGTCTCCTGAATACTCCCACTGTGGCCATTAAATAATTAGGTCTCTCATCAAGACCTGAGCAGGCCTTATGATGTGGCATGCGGCCATCCTGCGTTACGCATCAGCGAGGACTGTGAGGAACGGAGGAAGAGTGAGAATGGAAGTGTTGTATTGTTAACC